GATTCGATTGATTGTAAAATTAAAACATTTTTATCATCTTTATACAACCCATCAGGTAATGAATAAATGCATGTCACTCCATTTTATTTTAATGTACTCTCTCTCTCACTCACTCTGTCTCTCTCTCCCTCTCTCTCTCTCTCAGTTGAAGAAGATGATTACCTTCAATTACATGTTGATATTGAAACCAGCCTTAAAATGAGGTACATCAATTTATTTATTTATCTTTATTATTATTATTATTGTTAGTATTGAATGTTATAATGTATGCAAGTCAGTGGGAGGAGCTTCAACTAATAATAATAAATTAAAGGAGAGGTTAGGTAATGCTTGGAACGAGTTAGGAGTTTACTACAAACACACAGCAGCAACCGGAACTGAACAAGGTTAGCCTGCCAATAAAATAATAAATAATAGTAATAATAATAATAATAATAAGGCAGTTCCAACTAAATTACTTGTTTTACGGATTTTTTTTCTCTAAAATAGAGCAGGTCGGTCGGAATAAATTAAATTATAAACATTAAAATTAATTAACTACTCATTAATTAACTTTAATAATTGTTAGTTAACCACACTTTTAAAAAACAAACTATCAAAATACTCTAGCAACTTCTGTGAGTGTAGGCTTATTTAACATGAATGGCTGCTCTAACAAGTCCCAAAAAGTAGATGCCACAGAGGTTTCACATACAGTGGAAGGTAAGATAGAGGAGCTTGCTCTTTTAACAGTAACAAATACATTTAGCGCCATTTTGAATCTAGCCACACCCACCACGTGGTACTGCGCATGCGCATTAGAAAATTTAAATTTATTTTGATTTTCCAAAAATTGGAGTCGGTCGGATCCGTAAACCAAGTAATTTTATTGGAACTGCCTAATAATAATACTTTTATTCTACTTATTTATGTACTAGTGCTTCGTTATAATAATAATAATAATAAATAATAATAATAATTATTATTATGATAATTCCTTCTTTCTCCAGACTATAGTGCTAAAACCTCATTATGCGATGAAAGTTACAAATGTATCATTAAAGGACTGACTTTATTCAAGGAGACAGGCAGTGTACCTAACCAGGCACTATTGAACGCTAACCTAGGCAGTCTTAGTAGACTACTGGCGGCCATTGAACATCAGAAACAAGTGAAGGAGGGAGGAGGGGCTGAATTTAGCTCGGAGGAGAGGAGCCATTACAATAGATCTATAGACTATTACAATAAAGGTAAAACGTTATTGAAGAGATCGTCAAACCATCCTACAATATGGCTCAACATTGAAATGGACCTGTGTAACGTTTATTATGAATTTGGACGCGCCATACAAGACAGACCTCCATTGAGTAGAGTGTCTGTGCAAGAGGTACTGCATTGATGGTGATAATAATATATATTTTAATGTTAATTTTTTGTTTGTTTATTTATTGTTATAATTATATAATTATTTTTTGTTTTCTTCTTTTCTGTTTCTCCTTTGTATACTGTCTCTAGTGTTTTATCTCTTAGGCCACTAATAATAATAA